ACAGAGAAAACTTGGTACGGGTGTGGAAGAGAGGCACTGAAAGATGAGCCCTGTGATCTGTACAATGACCACATGATGTGAAGCTGAGCCACACTGGAGCTGGTACAGAAGGAACTCATCAGCTGTGGATGTCTCCTGAAGGAGCTGGAGTGGCTGCCCTGGGCAAGCTCCTCCCTAAAATGCTACATGACAACAGATGACAGCGAGGGTCTTAGAGGCCAACTCTGGGCATGGTGAAAGAAATAAAATCTGGTGATCCCTGGCAGAGTATGAATACCCCAGGTCTTACCTCATTTTAGTATTAAAAAGATTCTCTGATCTACCTGCAGGGGGTTGACAGACACCACAGATTTAGTGGTATGGTGTTAGCAACATGCGTAACAGCAATGAATTTTTGCTTTTAAAACACCAGGAGGGAGATTTGCCTGGGATTATTATTAATACTATTTGTAATGTTAAACTGGAGATAAAAATTTACTTTCTATAATTAATCTGGATTTAACAAATGTTTGAGTTGTCAGGGGCATGTAAGAGCCGTATATCATGTGGATATTTAAACTGACACAACTGACTTTCAGTCACTCAGGATTCCTTTTCAACTTGTTTTTAGAGTTATATACATCTATAATTATTATTTCCATATAAAAGCTAGTAAATACTTGATTTGGCTACTTAATAATGTATTTCATGCATCCCCCCTGTGCTTGAGCCAAGTCAGGTGCCCAGTACTGCCAAGTCTGTTCACTCCCTTTCAGGCTTTTGCTGCCTGAGGTGGGCAGTTCAAAGCCTGCTCAGCTGTTTTTACAGCACATTTCAAGTACAAAACACCCAAAACTTCAAGAAAGGAGAGGAGAGTCTGGTGTTCCTTCTGATAAAACCAGCGGTTGGGACACTGAGCCTGCGCTGACACGGGCCAGTGACCAAACGCTGTATTTGAGCAGCCAGGAGGGGCCCTGCGGCCAGGGAGCAGCTACACTCCAGGTCCTGCTGAAAGACAGGGACTCCAAACACAGATTCACCTGCATCCATGTGCCAGGCACCAAAGCCTAACAAGTCTGGGACCAGCTAAAGCCCAACAGCTGCTTTCATTCCTATTGAAGAGCACCTTCCAGGAAAAACACGAGGTCAGTCCCCACCACTGTGACCATGCCAGCTCCTGTGTGGTTGTGTAGATGACTTATTTCTAAATACTCCCTCTCTTTTTCAGTTGCATCTTGTTCACCACATCACTTCTCTGATTTGCCTTGGCTCCTCCAACATTCTGCTTCATGCTTCCAGCTGCTCTCATCATTATCACTGGGAAACAAATGAATTCTGTATCCCATGATCCCAGTTAATAAGAGCTGCTTCAGGATTTCAACTTCCTACTTGGCTTTGCCCATCCTTATCATAAGATTATCTAAATTAATCTTTCATAGCTTGCTTATGAGAATGCCAGAGAAGGCAGTACAATTATGAAGATTCATCAGCAACCATAAATTGAAAGTACAGTCTTATTTGGCTAAATAAACTGAATGCCTGAGTGGAACTTCAACTGATATCCAGGGGGAGGAAACTCTGCATTCACTTTGAAAGCCTATGCAAGGGTCATTCTTCACAGTAAAAGAAAACAGAAGGGTTGGTGCATGTGCCCCTATTACCAAGGGCTCAAGAGGACAAGCACAGCTGTTACGATTACACCAATGATTTTAAGGGAAATGGTAGCAGCCATGCTGTCCACAAGGGCAAAATCAGTATAATGATGACAATGCAAAATGATAATGAGTATATAAATCCCAAATAACTATACCCTAGCTGGGATGATGAAGTTGACAATAACCACAGTGGATTACCACAAGGCATCTTTACAAGACAGAAGCTTTCATCAAGGGGATACACCACATTCTCCATGTACAAATTTGAGACGGCTGTTTGCACAGAAAGATCTGCTCAAATAATTCTTATTTTTCCTGAGTGGATGAAATTTCATGTGAAACATTTCACTTTTATCCATATAATTTATACTGCTAGTGAAGGCTGCAATGCAGCTCTTCTGTGGGGTGACAGCTGCTTCCAAACACAGATGGACTGGACCTCTGCTGGTGCCACAATACAGCATAACAAATGCAGACTCACAAAAGCAAAGCTTCAGATCTGACTGGAATAACTGTAATAAAATTATTCGGGTGAGACATCAGCAAAATATTCTAAGGATCTATGGCACCAGTTTCAGCATTCTCCTGTTGACAGGAGATTTACCTTCACAAGTGCAAAGCTAAAAGAACTCCAAGGCAGATTGCTCAAAATTTCCCTTTTACAAATATACATTCTTGTCAGGAGAGGAACATTTTACACTGTGGTATTTTGTGGGTTGATGTAAAGACACCATTGTTACTTCAATGACTCCTATAATCATTGAACAGATACTGAATGGCCAAACCAGTTTCTCTTTTGCACGTGAATGAGACCTTTGCTAATGATTTACTGGTAAGGCTTTTTTATTATTTCACTGAGACTTCTTCAATCCCAGACTGATCAACCCTGTTGCCACAAAATACATATCTTAAGGACAAGCAACACCATCTTTAAAGAAATACTTCCTGTTAAACAGATTATATTGTCCCCACTAATACCTTACTTTCAATGAAAATTGGCAGTGAACTGAGCAGGAAACCTCTGACCAAGAAACTGTTCAAGCCCTGCTAAAAGCATTTCAAACAGAACACATCAGAGCTGAGAACCTGAAGCTATTGAGTGTTCCAGTGACAAGGAATAGTGAAACAGAAGGAAACCCCTCCCTGGAGAGGCTTGGATCATCCAGTGAGGAAGCAGGACACCTTCACAAGTGCACACCAAAGATAAGGATGCAGACAAAACTAAATTCCTCACACAACAGGTCTATAATGCTCTGACTACAGCATTACCCTGTCACTCTCAAAACATCAATTTCTCTTTCTACCATCAACATTTCCCCCAGATGGAATGGTCAAATACACCCCCCCACCATTCTCAACATCCTCACTGGTGACTTTTAAGAGAGCCTGTGCAGCCCAGTCTATGCAGCACAGTAATCTGAAAGCAAATACACAGCTGACATCCTCTGAAAAGGAAATCTCAATTCTTCCATCAATTCTTACACAAACTTCACATCAGCCCTTCAAATACCAATTCATGAACTTTGAGGACACCACCCATGACAGTCACTCAGCACAGAAGAAAAATACATCATGTTTTTGAAAGAGCCACATGGATAAGAACAGCACAAAAATAGCTTTTATAAAAAGAGAGACCCTCTACTTATTGTATACATTGCTCTCAAACACCATCCTAAAAAATGCATTTAAAAAAATGCTCAAAGAAGGGATCACCTATGGTAGAACATCCTACCAAAGGATGGAAAATCTGCAGAGCCATCCCTGCCAGTCTTTAAGCTGGCTCCCAACTCTGCTAAGCTCATCTCAGAAGGTTTGTGCAAAAAATGAGAATAGAAAAAAACAAGTACAACTTATCAAAACCTTCCCTTCCATCTTCCCGTAAGGACCTTCTACCCCAGATACCAGCACTCCCAGGTCTCATACATGGGCTTTCCTGGGAAGTCATATCCCATAGCTGAGCTCAAGCAACTACTGAGACCAGACTGAAGTGGCACAGAGCACTGACACACACAAACACACCTTGCTGCTGCAGCTCTCACAAGGTAACCACTCAGTCTCTGACAGTCTGTCACACCCCATCCTGGAGGGAGCCCTCCAGCCACAAACCTAGGAATAAAAATTCCTAACATTTCAAGACATCAAAACACTGCTTCTTGGTCACACTACAACTTCCCACAGTCTCCACACTCCCCCTTCCACACCCCACCTCTCTCTTTCTCAGCCTACACCTCCTCTAGTCATTTACACATGCCAGGAAATGTTACTTCTCTTTTCCTACAAAGACAAGTGTCATATACCCTCTGCTTTCCTACAAATTAGCACTCCCTCGATGAACCTGACAGCTCCATTTCCTGTCAAAGATGATCTGATACCGACTCACAACTCTGAGGGATTTTCCCCATTTGCAATCCAGTCTGAAAGCAAGCTGTCACCTTTAGGCCAGGCCTGAAGGTGGCTTGTGTGCCTGAAAGCTTTTCTTCTTTTCAAACGACACTGTTCGGTCTAGTGAAAGACATCATCTCTGCATATGTCCTTAGGCGTCATGGGCTGTTTTTATATGGTTTAAAAATCAAGACATATTTACAGTCCAAGTAAACTTTTAATCCTTATCAAAATATCAAAACATTATTTTGAATCCCTAAAGGCTTAAAGACATTTTTCCCAAACCATTACGACTGTAGAAATTGGAGAGATATTTTGTGAGGCCATTGTGAAATTCTGATTATCAGCCTAAACTTTTTACAAGGCATCACTATCATCAATCAAAGGTTTGAAAACAGAACAGAAAGGGCTCTTTGCCTTTAGAGAGTAAAATAAAGCTCGAAAGATGCAGAAACTCTTACTGCTTAATAAGATAAAAACAACTGTCCCAATCATCAGTCTCCCTTAACTAATCAGCCAGCCCCAAACTCTCAACAGGATAAGGAATTCCATAGTGCGAGAAACCAAATACGGATCAAAACAAATTGACATTTAAATGTCTTCACTCTCAACTTCACAATTTACACCTTTATAACTAAGTTTAATTGACCCTTGCAAAGTATTCTGTTTGATACAATTTCAACACTTTTGTTCATCTTTTCCCTCCCAGAGTTGTGGTTTTAGTAGCAATTAAGGCCCAAATCTTGAGAGATGTAAGAATCCAGCAGACACATTCTTTTGTTCTCTCCTAAAATTCGCACCATGCACAGCCACAAACAAACTAATAATATTCTTTTCCCATTTAAGATAGAATACATATTTAGAAAGCATCTGAACCACTGTATAGGAGGTGAAAGCTCCACCAAGCAAATACTTTCTAGTTGAAAACTTATCAGTGTTTGCAACCAACTTATCCTTGCTGGGAAAGATGACCTGCACTCTTACCATCATGATTGGAATTTCCCAGGGTCCATGGCTCATCTGAGTCAAAGTGAGTGTCTCCTCCAATTCCAGGTCCAGGAAAGTAAGCGTGAGCCAGGAATCCACCTTCTCCATCAAAGGGAGAACTGTCTCCATGGAAACCAGAAGCAAAAAATATCATAATATCTGCCTCCTTTCTGTCATTTTTAATTTCATGGTAAGGGACCTCTTCAAAGGTAAGTGGTGTCACTCTCTGCCAAACATCAAAAGCCTGACGAATGGCTCTCCTTGTATCAATCTCGCCAACCTTGGGGGTGTAGTTGTGTACACTGTGGGGAATAGAAGGAAGGGATGTTTCAATTGCAGAATACATTTGAGACATATCAAGATATATTGATATAGCCACACAGTTTCAACTTCCAAATGGAAGTTTTTTACAGACACTACTTTGTGCATGCAAAGTTTTGCTGTTACAAAGAAAGTTACCAACAGAACTCCTACCCTGATCTGAAGTCTACATTTATTAACAAGAATCTTCATAATACTTTGGTTGATTTTGGATTACTTCCTAAAAACCTTTCAAGTCTGGGTGTAGACAGTTGAGTAACTTTTTTTTTAAATGTAAACTACTTCCAGTTTTGTCTGAAGTTATGCTAAGATGGAATCTACTATATGAAAAAAAAACCTGATCACTAAAATTTGTTTTGAGAAACAAACTTCGAATAAACTACATGACCTTACTTATATGACCTGCTTCACTCTCCAAACTACTTAAAATATTTTAGAGCTCATAAGAATGATGGATCTGCCAGTTTTATGCAGCCCAGTCCATGATAGCTAAACATACAGAGTTTGGGGAGAGTAACGGGCATTTAACTGCAAATAAATGTCCCATAATTCTAAACCTTATGTTAAAAATGCTGTTCATGGGGTGTTTTGTGTGTGCGCATATAATAGCCTCATGATCTATTAAACTTGACTTGGGAAATATGAAGTATCTATGTCATGGGAACAATTTTCAGTCTTTAATGAAGCTGGCTCAATTTAATATAAACACACACATTCAGTGGTGAATCAAGACACCCATCACTTGAATGTGCACTACAAATACTGAAATAGGAAAGCGAAACAACTACTGGTTTGACAAGGGCAGCAGTGCAGCCTTCTGCCAATCTGCTTCTCTTGCTTATGCTTAAGATATATTTTATTTATATGATTCCATACCACTTTCCCCTAGGGTCCAGAAAAGGTTAGAAGGATCTGATTCTCAGATCTTTGCACACAGAAGGTGTCCCCCTACAATTTGAGTTAAAATAATGATTACTCTTGGAAGCTTTGAACTATTCCCCAGAACAAGTCTCTCCTCCCAGCCTCTGTAGTCCCTCATTGTCACTTGAAACATCCTCCTTCTTTCTCAGAATTCTTGGCAGAAGTGACAGAGTCCCTGATCCCAGTCCCTGATCTTCTTTCTTTTCACACCATCATGTCCCTTCCTAAACATTCTGGCACTTACCCCATGCTGGCCACTCACATTTCTACCTCTTCACCACAGACTTTCCTTCTGTCTTAGCCAGATCTTCTCCTTAATGACTACATCTCTAATTTTCATTCCTTCGTAATCTCCTTTTCCCCACCAAAAAATTTAAAAGGCTGTCATTTAAACAAGAGGGTGGGTTATTTTTAATTTGAAGTGACATTCCTATTGCCAGAAACCTCCACTGGCCATCTTTCAGCAATTGCCTTTCAAAAGCATGACTGACTTGGAACATGCCTCTGGGAAACACTGCCCCTCTGTAACACTCCCTTGACACCTGTAGCTCATCCCAGCTGGCCTAAGTCTGGATAAAAGCAAGAGCTCTATTGCAGGAGCAAAAGTAAAACCTCTGCAAAAATAAATGTTGCAAATCAGTAGAAGGAGAAAGCATCTCATCCCCAAACAGTGATATTCCTTCTGCTTTAATGGTTTGTTAAAGGTGACACATGATCTAAAGGGCAGAGCCTTAGATTTCTAACAGAAGAAAAAGGGCCTTTTACCAAGATTTTTCTGCTGAAATTGCACAACTGATGGCTGTGATTTAGCTGCCTTTACTAATCAGTTATTTTCTAATTGATAACAGACTCTTCAGTTACCCCAGTGCTCTGACAGTATTCTCCTCCACAACATTCTGAGAATGAAAGCCTGGACTAGACATTTTAGGGAGGATCTAGTTTCAATTTAGAAGTACTTACAAATTCTGAATGCCAAACAAGTACAGACCATTTTTTTCCACATCAAAAAGGGGGAGGGAGGGGCTGTACCTGTAGGTTATGTGCTTCTGTCTCCACTTCTGGCCAGTGAGTGCATACCGCTTTTTCCTCCGGCTGCGACGTAGGTGAGGATGATCTGGAACTCCACATCGAGGCTTCTTCATCCATCTGCAAGTAAAGGGAAAAAACAAACAAGCTACACACAAGGAGTTTGGAGAAGAGATTCTAGAGAACTCAGGAGGTGACTGGAAGACCTCTGAGAAATGGCCAGTGCTGACCCCAAGAAGGGTTCAGTCCCCCCTCTGTCAGGTTTATCCTCTGCATAGGGCTGTGCTACCCACCTCTGCTAGCAATCCACACACCTCAGCACACCAAAACCACTTCATTTTTGCTTGTGGAAACAGATTCCAGATCACAGTCCCTATGCTTGACAAGAGTTTAATAATGATAATGCCACAAGAGACCCAAATCAAAATCACAGGTGGATGTGCCCTGGGATCAAACTCACCTATTACCTACTGGATCCACTCTCCATTTGGTAAAGTGGTCCTGTGCCACTGAAAAAAAATCCAGTTCATACCTCACTAGGTAAAACTGAACAAGTGCAAACATAACCCTTCCAGATAATAACTAAGGCTTTCACCTGCAATGACCAGAGCATATCCCTCCAGTCTCTGGGTCTCACACACCAAATTCCATTAGGTTCTCCCCATAACCCCTGACTCTTGATGCCACTCATTACATAGGAAACTCTAGACTCTATTGCCAAGCGAACTGGAAGAACAAAGGAGCAAAGGCTGTCCCTTGCATGGGAATCCAGTCAGTATTACCAGAGGCGTCCACTCCTTCCCTACCTCCTTTACCTCCAGCCTTGACAGATCTGTTTCTTTCTTACAGCAGCTTGGGTGTGGTCAAACACTGACAGAAGCTGCCCAGAGAAGAGGCAGAATCTCCATCCTCAGAGACATTCAAAACCAAAATGGAAATGGTCCTGGGCAGCCTGCTCGAGATGTCCCTGTTCTAGCAGAGGGTTGGAGTAGATGACCACAAGATGTTCCTTCCAACCTCAATGATTCTCTGACAGAGAATCAAGGAGAAGGAGAAGTGTTCCTCAAAATACACTTGCTCATGTGGGCACACTCCAGAGAACCCAGAAGTGGCAAACAGAGAAACAAATCTGCCCATCATTGTATGTGGCAGCTGGGGAAGAAAGAGACAGAGTCTGAGGAACTACAGGTACTGGTGTCCACCTGTCCCCAGTCATATCCTTTAAGATTTTGCAGTGCATCCAGGAGAGGGGAGCAGAGCCCAGGAATAATGCAAGCAGACTCTGGCCACAGCCTCCCTCATCCACTGGAATTCTTCAGGCATTTCATGCATTTGATCCACCTACTCTGATGGCAAAGGCAAGTGACACAAAGCCCTTAAAAACACTTTGTAGGACATGCCACTGCCTTGTTACACACAAGAAAAGCATTCTAGCCAGTCCTGCCATTTCTCACAGGACAGCAAATTCTCTCCCCCCTCCTCAATAAGGTTGTTCCCACATCCTTGGCCATCCAAGGGACAGTTTCTGGCCTCCAAATGCAGACATTCCCCCATCAACTGCAGCCAACCAATGGCAAGTAGTCAACACTTGTGTCTAAACAATGTACATCTTATTCAGCAAAAAATATTAGCCCCAGAGTTTTAGGGAGGGAGGGTCTCCCATCACCACTGGACGGTTTACAACACTTTTTGCCAGGACACCTTTCAAATTTAAACCAACCAGACAGACAGACAGACACTGTGCCTCACCAGAAAACTCTTTCAGAACACACACACCTGCTCCCAATTCAGGCAGCCATGTAGCCCTTTCCTGATTCCACTTCCTATATGTAATTCTGGTTGCTTATAAATTTAAGTGCAGTCATCTGTCATCATTTCTCCACGAAGAACAGAGCAAATGAGAGCTGTTATACACATTGCACTGTACCTGACAAGAACCTTAGCTGTGTATATAAAGCCAGCACAGATCTTCCCCACTTACATCACCTCACATTTATCAGCACTGTACATCCTTCAGAAATCCAGGCAACCTGTGGAAATTGGATCTGTCTTGCCCACACAACTGCTGCCACCTTCAAAGAAAAGCAGTACATCTAAGATTTGTTTTTAGAAATATCAATTCAACCTGAACACGCAGTGTTTTTCCAAGCGTTCTTTATTTGTGCTTTTTTGCATTGCTTCTAGCACTTTCCTAGAGAGACCTCCAGCTTACTGTCACCTGTATTCTCCTAGATATTTCCTGAGTTTTCAGGGCTTTTTTTAGTTCCACTCATATGTTATGATACAATGTTTTTATCATAACCTTACACAACCCATAGTGTGAGTCAGGTTTTCACCTCTTGAGCTTCATGGGTTCTCCAGCAGTCTGAACATCACCATCATCAGGACCTGACTATAGTCAGAAAATGACCTTCTGCTTTATCCTCATTAGTATCATCTAGAAGACAAAAAATTAACAGAGCAGTACTACCAAACCAGCTTGCATGTGTAGAGAAGTCACTGGGGCTGTCCAGGGCAGTGCTGACACCAGAAGGACAGTGCTGACACCTCAGCATCCTGTAAGAACACCTTTCCAAGCTCCCAACACTTGCCCTATGCCCAGCTGGCCACAGGAATTCACCCACACACAGCTCAGCGCACTGTTATCAAAGCCAGAACTGCACAGAGACCCCACAGAAAGTGAATTCCCTCCAACAGTCAAATTCCCTGCCCCTCTGCCAGCTCCAGGTACAGGCATAGGGCATCAGGCTGTTCCAGAGGAAGCTGCAATACTGACACCTGGGGCTTTAAGGACTTCCTGAGACAAAGCTTCCAAGGTAGAGCTGCTGAGACTCATGCTGCCCATGGCCCTTAGCTACTCTTTATATAGTTTTTAAACTATATAAAAACCCCATTTCACTTAGGCCAGTCTGTACCCCCATATTCTGCCAGAGTTTGTTCCAGAGCTCAGCTACTGCCTGTCTGAAGCCAAGCAACAGAGCCCAGCTACCTGGCTGGAGCTCAGCAGTACCCGAGCTGTCGTCAGCCTGAGCTAATGTCAAGTTGAGAATGTTTATCTGGATCAGTTCCCTGATTCAACTTACTTCCCAGACATATGGGCCCTGGTCTAATCACATGGACCAGGGTACAAATCCAGCCATCTCTCCTCTCAGCAGGGCAGGTCTGTGGCAAAATATCTACAAAGCTGTACCTTGCTGCTGTTAATCATCTGTAGCTGAGCTTTATGACAGTCATTCTCTACTGAGCAGTTTGGATAACACCCTCTCTGTTCCAGGGGAAATAATCACATCAGAAACAACAAAAGACAACTACTTAAAGCATGATTCAGATATTTATGGTTGATTCCCCCCTCCTTATTTTTTTAAATGGGGACACTAGTAACATTGGATCATCAAAATTTATACTTGGCACTCTTGAGGCACAGACTATTGCATTCCTGCAGCTGCTTGGCATCAGAAAATAAGCAATTCCAAAAGCAGTGACATCCAGTTCTTGTCCAGATACGGCTACTTTCCCCAGCTCAGGTTCAAAGCCCTTCACAAGACTCTCCTAAAGAGAGGGAGGTGTCACTCTCAATCCCCTACTCTTGAGCTGGTGGGAGTGGTATCTTTAAAGAGCTGTGATGCACCCCAAGGTGAGAGCTACACAATAGGCTCAAGACAAAGCACAAGACACTTCCAATACAAGCAAGATCATTTCTTGGCTCCTTCCAAGGCCATGTGATTGACCATGACAAAGACAAATCAGCACTTTTGTTCAGCACTAGCGTGCTTTCTCTACAGCACGCTCCAGGACTATATCCTTGCCCAGCTGCTCAGAAAAATCACAGTTCAGCCCACCAACTGCAGGAAGACACCAAATCTGTTGAGGCATCATCAGTTGCAGGGTCTGAGGAGGCTATTTAATCTATTCTCCCTGCTCTCTTTACAGGAAACTACATATCCTCTGCTGAATGGATCCCCACCCAACCTTCCTTTTGGGTACCAAAAAGCATCACCAGTGGTGGTGCTTCTTCCATCTCCCACTAGCAGCACTTACATGGTGGCTTCCACATGCTTGGGTACCAATCATGGAGGAAAGAACAAGTCCTGGATTTGAGGGCATGTGGGAAAGGAGATGAGAAACTTTAGGCTTCCATAATAAGTGTAAATAACTCTGATTCTTAAAGTCACTTTAAAGAGACAGAACTTATTACATTGATGGAAGTGACAGAAAAATTCCTAATTTCAATGTCAAAACTCCTAACACAAACTGAAACAATGGCTTAATCAATGCTGAAGTAATTCAGAGCCCTTGGAGGCAGCCTGCCTTGCCAGCTCTCTTCCTTCTGCTCAGCTTCCACAACCAGGTCTGAGGAAGTGACAGCCCAACACAGCCCAGGCAGATGCTGGGCTAAATGACAGCCTAAATGACAGACTCACTGCTAACTGCAATCTAGACCTCTTTTTCCATTCATGCAAATTCTAGGCAAATTCCACCTGTCCATACAATATATGGACTCACTGACTCAGGACAGATGGAGACAGAGCAACCCAACATGCCTCCAAAGCACACCAGTGTTTGGGTGCAGCTGAGGTCTCAAGCTTTTGAAGACTTGAGTTTCAGAAGAGGGAACCATCCAGGTTTTTCACTCATCAGCCTTTGGGTGTTTATGCACTGATCAAGGCCTGCCCATAAATACAAACTCACTAAAATGCAGGCATCACCTTCCTTTCCTTCAGAAAAACTTTTACTTACTAAAGCAAGGACTCCCACACACAGTTTGTTCCCTTCCCCTGTCACCCACAAGGCAGCAGAAGCAGCTCACTAACTTCCCAGCCTAGCACCCCAATATCACAGCCCCTTCTTTCTTCATCTCCTTCCAAGTCATCAGCATCCCAAATCCAAGCCTCTACACACTAACTGCACACACAGAGCCTTGCTCGATGGCATTCACATACAAACTGTGTTATTAAGAGATCTCAGATGGAAAATCCCCTTTAAAAAGCATTTTGTTTTCAACTCATTTGAAAACCAAACAGAATTTTCTCAGTCCCTCAATGGAGAGCAAGGGGCTCTTCCTGTGAACTAAAGGAGGGAGTGTTATGCTCACTGGAGAGGTAGTCCCAGCCCAGGATGATCCACACCTGTCCAATTCACTAATTTCTTCTGTTTTTCCCTCTTCTTGCAGTCTGGAAGGCATAAAACCAAACCCCTTTGTTCTTTCCATTATTTGGTTACTTTGTGGCCCTTTCTTTTGTGCAACCATGTCCCTTTTGCCAGCAGTGTGCCTTACCAGAAGAGATGAAGAACCAGGCAGAGCGTGCTCTGAAAGGGTCTGCTAATGTAGCAATGGCAAGGGACAACTAAACAGGGTCTAAGCAAGTTCCACTGGGCTTCCTCTTCTTGATCACCATGAGATGCTTTTTTCCCCAGAAAGCCTTAGGAAGACCTTCTCTGCATTGTGCTTTAGATGCTCCCCAGAGCAACAGCAGATGGATCCAGCCACTACACGACACCCTGGCAACCAGACAAGGAGCCACTTTCACACCATCCTTTGCAACCCACATTGAAGAGAAGACTAAAAAGCAAAGTCCCTCCAGCCCTGGTGATTTACACCAATGCTTCTGAGCTATCAAAACTCTGATCACAATCAACAACACGTGGTCAACATACAGTAGAGAACAGCTAATCTCCAACAAATGGCAACCATGGGCAGCTAAGTAGCCTTGACTACTTGTCATCAGACTACAATAATTCAGTTCAAACTATGGATCTCCACAAATAGCATCTACAGAGATACACAAATCCAATTAATTAGGAAATAGATTAGAAGCCATTTCTAGAGCCAGAATTTTAACCTAAATTCAGACAGATGGAAAAAAATTAAACCCTTGATGTTCTCCACATTCAGAAGCTCACAGGATTCACACTTAGGCTGTGCACCAGCAGTGGGGATCTGTGTTCAAAGAACAACAGTAACAAGAGCTTCTCCTCATACTCACAAAAAATACTGTTGGCAAAAAGAAAATTAGAATTGTCCAGAGGTTTTTGTTAGAGACACCTTTTCATAACCAAGACGTCTCTGGTACAGTCAGTCAGGCAACTCTATCTCCTTTGAGGACGTGCACCTGGAATAATTACCCAGGAAATGACAATGCATTAAGGAAGAGAAAGACAAAAGTAGCCTATATTAATCTTACTCAATAGTTGTCTGGTCCAAAACTCCTGTTACTGGGATTCCATAAAACTGTTGCATAGTGGCAACTGCAGACTGCACAGCTTTTCCTGACTGCAAAGGAGACATCTGGCTGTCAGATGGAAGTAAGTAGCCATAAGTTTTTAACCAACCCTGAAAAAGAAAGAAACAGATGGTAAGATGCCACAGTAAGTTATCAATATAACAGTTCAGAACATTTCCTCAAAAGAAAAAGTGACAAACTAGCCCAGAAAATTCAGCCATCTTGCTTTATTTGGTTAGGTTTGGTAATATCAGCTAATTCCTAGGAAGGGCTGAAGACCCAGCTTAATATTATCTGTCCTGACAGGACAAGACAGACCTGCCACTTAAAAATAAGCATCATCCCTACTGTGCAACTGGGGCAGACTTAGGTATTCGGAGCACCAGAAATGCCCAAGAAGCTTTGTTCTCACTCCAGGGACTTCCCGTGCACACTGTCCCCTTGCCATCATGAGACTCCTCAGTCCCCACAGCAGCAAGCTCCCAAGAGCCCACTGCCCATTACCCACTGCTGTCTCTGGACCATCATTCCAAAACAACAGCTTAACAGCCCTGAGAAATCCCTGAAAATACAAGTTCAGCTCTGCACTGGCAGTGAGCACAGGAGTAATTGTAAAAAAAAAACCCAAATGAACCAAAACAAACAACAACAAAAACTCCCAAAAACCCAAAACACAAAAATAAAATCGAACAACCAAAAAAACCACACTCAGAAAGTTTGAAGACCCTGATTAGGTGGATGCTTCCTCAATCAATAGCTAATACAAGCAAGCTGTCAGAAAAGGAAAACAGCCAACTCTCCTCAAGGAGCTCTGTCCTTTTCCCTGCCTCCATCCTAAAATGCAGCCTTAGATAAAACTGCATATCAAACCTGTCAAAACGCTAAGCACTTCCAAAAACATACAATTATTCAGGATTTTTTCCTCTCCTCTATTCCCCTCCCACACTTTGATACGAGGAGAAACAAGATTATTAAGTAATAATAATAATAATAGTAATAAAAACAATAATAAAAAACTTGTTTTCATAAACTTTTCCCCATAACTTTTCATGCACGCCCCTTAGTACTTAATTCCTCTGATTGATTAAATTCTTAGACTAGGATTACTATGAGACCAACATACATCCCATAAGCTTTTTCCCAGTCCATCTGACCCACAAGACAATCCTCACCACATAAACACTGATACATCATCTGCAGGACCTGTTCTCTCACTGACAGTATGATTACTCAGGGAACAGGGAGAGAAGATGCTTGTTCTCTCTTAACATAACACAGCAGCAGGAAAGGGACTCAAGTCAGGAGAGGCACAAGTGGGAGAACAATCCCTGTTTCTTTGTGGCAACAAGAAGATGCCAGAAGCCACCAGGGAGAGAGATGAGCCTTGCTTCCAAAGCAGGAGAAAGAATCATAGAAGGGTTGGAAAGCCCATCTCATTCCACTCCCCTGCCATGGGCAGGGACACCTTCCACTATGGTCTAGTTGGTTGCTCCAAGCCCTGTCCAACCTGGTCTTGGATGCTTCCAGGGATAAGGACAGCCACAGCTGCTTTGGGCATCCTGTGCCAAGGCCTCCCCACCCTCACATTCCTTCCCAATATCCTATCTATCCCTGCCTGCTGGCAGTGAGAAGCCATTCCCTGTGTCCTGTCCCTCCAGACCCTTGTTCAAAGTCCTTCTCCAGCTCTCTTGGAGCCCCTTCAGACCCTGGAAGGGGCTCTGAGGTCTCCTCAGAGCCTTCTCCAGGTGAACGCCCCCAGCTCTCCCAGCCTGGCTCAGAGCAGTGGAGCTCCATCCCTCAGAGCATCTCCATGGCCTCGTCTGGTCTCGCACCAGCAGCTCCTTGTTGATCTCGTGTTGGAAGCCCCAGAGCTGGAGCCAGTGCTCCAGGTGGGGTAGGGAAGCCCCACGAGAGCATGGACTGGGCATGCCAAAGTTCACCAAGGGCACATACAACGCTACTAAACACGGACATAACCAATGGCTGCAGACAAAGTCAAGCTGCAAAACTGTTCCAAGAGCATTTGCTACCCCTACCTTGGCCTCTGACAAGCACAACAATGATGGGACACTCCATTATAACCAACATTAGCTGCCTTCGAGCAGCGAGGGCAGAGCACAATAACCAAAACAGCTCGGAGTGGGGCTGCCCTCGCGTATCCCCCTTTCCTCCCGGCCGCACAATGAGGAGGCAGCAGCAGGAACAGGGGACACGATGGCCACCCGGACACTCCGAGAAGCTGCTCCCGGAGACTGATGCTTATGATCACACAGGAAGGGCACAGCTGCTTCTCCGGCCGGTCCCAACTTGCTGAGGCGCGGCCAGAGGAGCTCAGCCCGGCCCTGCGGGAGATGATGGAAGGCTTGTAGCGGCGGAGGCACCGCTGCCCGTCCGGCTTTCCGGCCCACCCCGAGACACCCAGCGCATACAGCGGCCCCGCCCGGCCCCGCTCACGGACCTACCCGGCCGGTGCTGGTGTCGGCTGCGGCGCGGAGCAGCGCGCAGAGCAGCGGCAGCAGCGGCCCCGCCGCGCCCAGCGCCCGGCGCGGGCAGCGCGCCATGGCCCCGGCGGGGCCCGGGCCCGGGTCGGCACCGGCGGGGCTCGGAGCGGTCCGGCCCCGGCGCCGCGGCTGCGGCTGCGCGGCTGCCCGGAAGGGGAAGGGGGAAGGGGGACGGGGAAAGAGGAAGGGGAAGGCGGGTAGCGGAATCCGCCGCTTCCTCTGCGGGACGGCCCGGCGCTCCCCCGTGGCGACTGCGGCCGCGGGTCGCCGTGACCGGCCGGCATTGCAAAGCGTGGAATATGCAATGTATTTTTTAGAAAGGCAGTTCTTCGGTGTGACCATCTCCGGAGAGAATGTGATGCCAGCTGCGGGTAGCCCACAGCAGGGCAGCTGGAGGGGCAGTCAGCAGGGACGTTCCTCAGGGAATGAGGGCTGTGTCGTGCATATTTACTAGCTCTAGCTTGTGGAAGGCCTTTCCAGATGAACTCCTATGTACCAGAGGAAGCGGGCGGCAGATCAAGCTCAGCCACGAACTTCACCAGTCTCTCTCCTTCCAATTGTGTCCTATTTCCCAGGACACTCCCAGCACATCAGGATCAACAGGACTCACCCCGATACCGGCACAGCCAGCCCTGTCTCTCACGGACTACAGGAGCCCGTACCTCCTGCCAGGCCAAATCATAGCTTCCTCCTGTTCCCCTGCAATTCGGTCTCCTTGGGAGTGAATTGCTTGCTGCAGGCAGCCAGTTCTGTCCCTGAGCAGCTTGGCACCTTGGAGCCTCTTCTCAGCCGGGTAAGCACTTGGAAAGTACCAGCAGCCAGAAGATCATCCCTCTGCTGCTTCAGCCCTTCAAGATCACTCGAGGTTCTGTTCTGTTCTGAGTTTTCTTCTTTTCTTCATTCCCTGTCCTAGATGGGAATGACAAACCCATGCTCCATTTGAGGCACACTGTCTAACTAGAGGGGCTGTGAGGATGGAGGCAAGCAGCGCTCCGTTCCTCTGTCCCCTCTGTCCACCAGCCCCTGCCAGTACTGTGGGCAGAGAGACCGGCTTCCTCCCACTCTCACTGACCCCCTGCCGTTCTGCTCTATAAACTTCAGTGCATTTCTCTGCAGAGACATCCCCATGCTCTCAACAGTACAGTCTATGCCAGCTGACATGGAGCTATCAGATCCTTCCCAGAATCCTTACTGTGACCCAAATGCACTACTAGGATGAACTGATCTTTGTTTTCAAAATGATAGAACTACAGAGGTCTGGTTAAACTTTCTTAGGGGTGTGAGTTTAACTTGGTTAAAGTTAAAAAGAAAAAGCTCCTGGGAGTCTGGGTATAACAGCACATTCTATATTTACATCCTAAAGAAGAAAGGAAAAATTAAAAAGAAGGAAAAAACAATCTTAAAGGAAAGAACCACCTCCCACCCCCGCTCCAGCTCAGGTGGCCCTGGCAGACAGAGAGCCTCTCAAATCAGCTCTCCTCAGAGCTCCAGCAGCACAGCCAGCCACGGTCCCACAGACAAGGGCGATTCTTGCGTGCCCTGCGGAACTGATCTTGCTGCTTCTGCAAGATGGAGCTGTTGGGGGAGCCTGGAGCTGTCTCTACTGCCCAGAGGACAAAGGCTGTTTCCAGAGCCAGCCTTCTGATGGCAGGGCTGATTTCCTGTGCCTTGTCATCAAGGGCTGCAAGAGAGAGGAACAGAGCCACGGTCAGATCTGGATCTGCGGGGACCCGAGGAGAGCCCTGTGCCAGGGCCAACCCAGGTGGCTCAGGCCATGGCCAGGAGAGAGCAGGGACCAAAGGGATCAGCCCAAAGCCACTGGACACTACTGGCACTCGTGCCCCTGAAATCTCTGTGTGTGCCCTGGCCACACCAGGCCTGGTCCCCACAGGGAGCAGAGCACTCGGCAACCGGGGCAGGGATTGCAGCTCCCCTTGGCAGCCAGGGCTGGCAGCCCACTGCCCTCACTCACTGTGGCAGATGCTCTGGAGCTCTCACTTCTGCCCCCTGACGTGCCACCCGGCTGTTGAGGTTTTGGAGAAGGGAATTCACCATCACTCAGATGGAGCTGCTGCTGCTTCTTCTTCCTTCTTCAGTAGTGAGCCTTGTGCCCCCTGTCCTGCTGAGATGTGGCAGTGCCAGCCACTGCTGTAGAGCTGCTGATCCACCTCATCCACCAGCCCGGGATCTCAGCTCGTCCCTGCTGTTCCAGCTGAGTGTTCCTCAGAGCCCTGCAGGAGCACCGGGACTGCCCGCCCGAGGGGTTTGTGAAGCAAAGCCTCTCCTCCATCCCTTCCTGCCTTGGCTGAGAAGGTTGTCACAGGGTCCCTGGTTCTGTTTTGTTGTTAATGCTGTAGTTATTGTTGTTTGCCTTGTTGCACATACTAGTAAAGAACTGCTATTCCTATCCCCAGATCTCTGCCCCAGAGACCCTTGATTTCAAAATTATAGTAATTTGGAGGGAGGGGGTTTACATTCTTTCATCCCAAGGGAGGCTCCTGCCCTCCCTAGCAGACACCTGTCTTCCAAACCAAGACAGAAGAAAACTTTAACAAAACTAAAATTATAAAAAGAATCAGAATAAAACCTTCAGAACACTTTTCCTCCCCCTGCCTGACTTCTTTTCCAACAGACAACGTAGAGACAACACCTGGGATTTTAAATCAGTTACTAACTCTACAATAGTCTTCCATGAGTTCCTGTAGGGAGAGGAGTTTTCTCTTGCCGTGATGGGCCACAATGGAGGGGCTGGAACATCTCTGCCATGAGGAGAGGCTGAGAGAGCTGGGACTGCCCAGCCTGGAGCACAGCACGCTCAGGGCATCTCACCCCTGGGGATAAATACCCAGGGTGGGGCTGCAGAGAGGATGGGGTCAGGGACAGCCCCAGGGGCCACGGGCACAAAGTGACGCACAGGAGGGGCCCTGTGAGCTCAGGAGACACTTCTGCACTGGGAAGGTGGCCGAGCACTGGTGCAGGTGCCCAGGGAGGTGATGCAGCCTCCACCCTGGGAGAGACTCAAAAGCCACCTGGACACATCCTGGGCAGCTGGCTCTGGGTGGTCCTGATGGGGCAGGGGCTGTGCAAGGTGACCTCCAGAAGTGCCTCCAAGCTCACCCAGCCTGAGATTCTGTGACTCTCAGAATAAAGCAGGTTGCAGTTTCCTAAGGACAAATGAAAAAGCTCCACACATGGCAGGAGTCTCCTGACCTCACCAAAGTGGATTATGTCACATGTCTCCCTTCTGCAGAGTCCTCCCTGGAGTGATCATGTCCCTCAGTGTCACTCCTTGATGCTGAGAGAAATCTTTGCCCATGATCATTGGTCTGGGTGATCAATCTCTAATTCAGAATTGGTTTTCCGGGCTTGAATAGAATTGCTTCAAAGTTGCTTCAAATATAATGCACTATACTGGAAGTTACAGTTCTGTGTACTGGGTAGTAAGTTTAATTGTGATCATAATAAACTCTTAATTTGTCTGTAAATATATTCTTCATCCTATGGAACACAGTTGTATAAAGGTTCCAATACTGTCACTCCTGGACACAAAATTATTGACAGAGACATAGCTCAATGTGTATGATAGGAAAAAGAGAGTGTTTTATTCTGTCATTTTAGTGTTTATAGATTCTCGATAACGATCAGGGATTGGATAGTTAGGCTACTACCTTCCTAACCACATTGGTCGTGAGAAACGTTCATCAAAAGACATTTCTTTAATGGAATGCATAAACATCTATGTTTATAGTTTTTTTCCTATGAAAGTGGCTAGAAACTATGAAAACAAGATCAGAAGGTTTAATTCTCAGGCAACAAATTACACCTATACTATCCTTTAAACAGAAACTACTGACAAAATCTAAGGCTAATACTACATCCAGCTGCTCCCTGGCTCCTCTCTGAGAAGTTTAGGAAGCAAGGAGATCCCTTCTGCTCCCTGTGACTCAAGGGGAGTGTCTCGTGCCTGCTCCCTGCACAGCTCTCCAGGTGGTGCTGTCGGTCTCGGGCCAGCTGTGACTGCAGCAGGGACACCTGAAAGAGGCACAAGGCCCGGCTCAGACAAGCCCACGCTGGCAGCAGCATCCACAGCCCCACGGTACCGGCTGTCAGGGCAGACACAGCCTCCAACTGCAGCCCTCACCAACACTCTGCCCTTGGGGAAGGGGAAAGGAACAGGCTCCCAGACTGGCCCTGAACAGAGCTCAGATGATCAACAAGTCCGGTCCAAGGCTGCCAAACCCTTCCCACGTACATCCCTCAGCCCCCACAGGTCTAGCAGAGAGAGTTCCAACAGCAGTGAGGAACCCAACTCTGATTTCCAAAGGACGCATTTGGGCCACTGAGCCCTTGCTCCACAGGCTCCACAGTGCATCAGCAGGAGGGCTACTGCTGCTCCCCTGAGCTGCTGGAGAACTCTTCTCCTTGAGCTGCTGGACAGCCAGCCCAGGCCTGAGGGGAATGCTGTGCTTGGCCTTTTTTGGTGCTTTCTTGAGGCATTTTAGCACCCAAAGCCCATTTTACACATCCCCATTTCTAAACTATGCATTAAATATGGCTTTAACTGAATTATATTTGTTCATATTTATTATGCTTCTACTCAATTTTACTTAATTTTGAGGGATTCCTAAAGGGATTTGGGGGGACTTTCTGGTTCTGCCACGTTTTTGTGCACAATCTGCCTTTTCAACCTTCCACTATTTAAGTATAACTCAAAGATAGCCTGAAATATTTCATACTTATTGGAATTTATTCCATTTTTGTCAGTTTTGTTGAAATTTGGAGGAGGTTTTGAGGCTTTTCCCAGCCAGCCAATGACTGAGGGCAGTTTGGCTGAGGCGGGAACCCTCAGCCCCGCCCCCGTCCCGCGCAGCCAATCCCTGAGGGCACTTTTCCCTGCCCGCGGTTTGGGCGGGAGCCGCCCCCCCCATTGTCAATCACTGAGGGGGTTCGGCTGAGGCGGGAACTTCTCCCCGGCCTCCCCTCGCCGGTCACTGCCGCCCCTCCCTCCCCTGCCTCGCTCCCAGTGGCTCCTTGTGACTCTGAATTTTCCCCAGCTGCCCCAGTCTGGACTGGTTTGGACTGGCTTATTCTCCCCGCTCCCCAGGTAGAGGAGCTCCTCTACCCCCGCTAAAGGACACGTAATGATTCACATGGACATGTCTCAGTGGTATGACATGAAAAAGAAAGTAACTTTATTTTCTCACTCCTGCATTTATAGATACTTGACAATGACCAGGGATTGGATAATTAAGTTACCACTTTCCCATTTACACTAGTCATGCAAAACATCCATCAAAAGATGTTTCTTAGAAGGAATGTGTAAACAACTTACATTTTAGTTACTTTCCTGGGAAAGTAATTTAAACTATGAAAACAAGATCAGAAGGCTTAGTTTTCAGGGTGACATTTCACCCTTTCTTCTTTAAAAAAATAAAGATAAATGTTGAAAGACCCCCGAGCTGTTCACCAGTCTTCACAGAAGTAATTGTGAATGCCGTTTATTTCTATCTTTAGCACACCTTTTATAGGGTTCTACAGGGTCTGCGGGCAGAGCAAGCTACTATTGGCTAGTACACACAAGTTTACATTCTTATCCTTGTACACAGGAACATTGTTTTACTTTCTACAGGCAAGTTTCAAGGATTTTAGCCTTTAATATTGCGACTTATCCCACAGGCTGGTTTGTGCAGACAGACCTTTACCAATATATAAAATACAGCAACAATTCCCCCTTTCTCTTTTTGCACAAACCAGGCTTTGGATAAGATAACACACAACTTAGACTGTCATCTCAATTAACATTATAAGTAAAGTCCGTCCCCCTTCTAGCACAAGAGACCTTAACCATCCGGTGATGCCCCAGCTGGTGAACCAACTTCTAATGGGGTCACTATCTTCCTTCAGGGCATGTAACCCATCCTGTAGCTGTTGTAGTTGCTTATGGATGGAAACTGAATGATCAGTAAGATCCAAGCAGCACATGCCTTCAAACTCTTCACCACCATGTCCTTGTGCTAAGAGCAAAAAGTCAATTGCAGCTCGATTTCATAATACTGCATGACACACTACTCACATCGGCTGAAAGCTCACTTAACATCGTGGATGTTAAGTTCAATCCTTCCTTAGTCTAGCAAGCGAGCCTTTTTAGAGTTGCTAGGCCCCAATTCATTCAGGCTTCGCTTTGACTGTTTGATGTTTTTCATTTTGCTAGTTACATTCAACAATTGATGTAAACTTGGGTGGAACAAAGTTAGTTTCCCAAGATAACAGGGTCCTCTGTGGATTAGCAGGAATCTAATTCCATGCTCTATCTCCACAGATGAGGAATATGGAACTAGGTAATCGCTTTGGTAATTATCCTATGAGATTGCACCACAAATAAAGGCTTTACTTTCAATGGTAGTAACGAGATCAGCTATAGGGTTGACTGCAGCTCAGTGCTACATTACTTTGTTAGAATGACTTTTTGTCGGGTTCAAATTATCCATCCACCTGAGGTATTGGTGGAACTTAACAAATCTAATTCTTCTGAGGGTTGTAATATTGAGAACTTTGGTAATTTTTGCTTGCCAACAGGCTTCAAGTTGTCTTAATGTGAAGCCAACAGTGCGATTGCACTCTTGCAGCATTGCCAATCGATTCAGTTGAGTCTCGTTACTAATTAAACCTTTAAATGCTGGAGGATCCCATTCAGGGACTCCCATGAGACAGGTGCAAAAAGGATCTCCAGGTGTGGCTAGGCTCAAACACATTGACCTTTGGCCAGTTCAATGTGCCAGAGTGACCCATATGTTCTGTCACTTTTGGATGTTAGTTAGCAGACAGTTGGTCAGGACTATACACAACACAATTACCATAAGCAGTTTGTTCCATGTAAATGACATCATATTTGCAAACTCACAGCTAAAACTTTAATCGTTAAATGAGCTTTCAAAGATGCTTACACTAGCTCTTGAAGGGGAAATACTTATACTTTATACTAACATAACAATTACTACACAGGCTAAACTCTATCTTAGACTATTATCTAACTATTTTTAACACACGTGCTCTGGTATATATGTAGTCTAAGCGTGAAAGCAATTTG